GGTTTGTGGTGCAGCCTGCGAGGGAGGAGGGGAGCTTCAGCGTTCCACGCCTCCACCTACCGCGTTTCTGGTGACGGTCTTGGCTCCCCGGAGCCAGCCTGCCCCGTGCTGTGCCCCATGCTCAGTACCTGGGCTCTGATGAGGGTTCTCCTTCCTTTCCCCTTCTTGCAGCACGCTGCCTTGCTCCTTGGTTTATTTCCCCTTCTCTGAAGCGACAAGTGTGCTACTGCTGTCCTTCTTTGTGTTCTATGTGAGACGTGCGTCTGGTCCCGTCACGCATGCCGCAGCCACGCAGGAGGCTGGATGCGGCCCAGCCCTGAGCCCAAGGGGGGAACCTGTTTGGGGCGATGGCTGTTGGGCGCACAGAGCAGCCACGTCCTGCCGGCTTCTAGCAAGGTGCAGGAGCTGCAGGTTTCTGCAAAGAGAGTTAAATGCAGATTGTGTGGCAGAGGGGTGCCCTAGGCCTCAGCCCTGAGGGAGAGGGCAACCTCCCCCTGGCAGGAGCTGTGTGGGGGCTGGGAACGTCCCCCCGCAAAGCCCCGCAGGTCTCAGAGGGCTCCATCAAACCTGCTAGGTTTAAGGGGAGAGGGGAGTCTCAAAATAGCAGAAGGACAGGACTATCCACGAGAGGGGGGCTTGTGCGTAGCAGTGGGGAGAAGAGCCCTGGAATTGGGAACGCTGTGTTTAAATAGCACAGCCTGCCGCCGGGGTAGGAGGCCACGCAGGCCCCCGGGGAGGGTGGGCAGCTCGGGTGCTCCGTCCTACTTCAGCGCACTCTGCAGCACCGCTCTCACCCTCTCCCCACGCCGCTTCTGATGGAGGAAAGGCTGCTGCTCGCTCCTGGGCCGCCGCTCCTCTGGCAGCGGGGTCGAGGACGGGAGGGCTAGTGCTCCCCCTGCCCCTTGCCTGCCCTGTTTTGGGTTAACCAGCACCTGGGAACTTCTGGGCTGCTTCCCTGCCTGCACTTCTCCCCGCTGCTCCGCAGGGATGCAGATGCTGCCTTCGCTTTCCCGTCCCACCGCTTCACCCGTGCGAGCCCCAGAGAGGCAGCTCCAGCCAGGGGGGGCAACCAGGAACCGTCCGCTTCCAGCCACCCGGGAAGGGGGAAAGGGCTGCTCTGCACCCGCCCCAGGACTCTCCCAAAAGCCTTTCCCTGGCTCTGGCAGGGGCTGGGTTTCTGCCCCCCGCCAGGTTGGGACTGTCCATGCAGCCAGTGCTGGAGGAAAGACCCATCCCGGCACCTCTTTGCTGCAGGCAGACACTGCGGGGCAATCAGGGTAGGGGGTGGTGGGGTGCGTGGCCCAGCTCCTGGCAGCCCAAGATTTCCCTGCTGCCTCTCCTAATTGCAAACGCTAATTAAATCCAGCAGGAGGGCTGCAAAACCTTCTCTTTCTTCCTTGCCACCTGTGGGATCTGGTTCCTGGTGGGGACGGCAACCACGGGATCTCTGAGAGCGTCTGCCCCTGCCCTGGAGCTGTATACGCTTGCTGGGGGGCTGAGGGTGTCCCCCAAATCAGCACCTGTGGCAGCTGGGGAGCTTGGGTGGGCCTCCCCCCACCCCATGAACCCCCAGTGGCCCCAGGAGAGCAGTTGGCAGTGGAGACTGGGTTTGGCCCCAGCCTGTGGACCTTTCCCGGGGCCACCCCCTCAGCAGAGCCCCCCAGTAGCTGCAAGAGCAAGAGCCTTCCTGCGGCACCCTCCTCCCCTGCCCAGCGCCTTGCTGGGGGGGACTGGGCACCCCCAAAGTTTCTGGGGGGGAGGAAGGGGCTGGCAGCTGGGGCTTGCCCTGGACGGTGTGGGATTAGCGAGGGGGGCAGCTGAGGGCAGCCCTTTCATCGCCACCAGGGTTGGCATCTCCTGTCCCCCTGGGGTTCCCCGCCTGGCCCCAGAGATGTGTTCTCCCCCCAGCCCTACAGCCCGGTCCTGCAGGGACCATGTGCCCTCCCAGGGACCACAGCCCGGCCAGGCTGGGTGCAGGATGGGGACCTCTCCCCGGCCAAGGAGTTGAGGTTAGAGGCTGGTCTCTGACCCAAGGATTGGGGCCCTCCTGCCGCACCCCAAAACCCTCCGGGCCCAGCAGGCGCTCCTGCCAGCAGAGGGCAGGCCGCGGCCACG